AAAACAACCCTGACTTCCTGCTGCTTCAGATTTCGGTCCTGAGAGCTTTTTAGTTAGCCTGTTTTCTCTTCCAACCTCCTTTCTGCTCTTTCCCGTCTCCATCATGCACATTAAAAAAAAACACTGGGCTGCCAAAAACACTGTTCACTGCGCTGGGAGAGGAGGATGAGCACTGTTTAAGCTTTGAGACTGTTTCCCCCAATCTCTGTTTCTCCTCCTACCTCCCCATCCCTTTTCCCATCTTCAGCGATCTCCCATTAGTTTCTTTGAAAGGACCAGCTTGAGACCAGGCTCCCAGGGATGGCCTAGAGATGCAGGCTCAGCTGGAGTCCTTCATCCTCAGCCTTCTGCTATTGACTGTCTTCCCTCCCTCCCAATGCTCCCACTTTTCCATATGCAACCCTCCCAACCCAGGATGCAGTGACCGCTAGAGGTTGTGGCCGCTAGTTTACCGCCCCTAACTGACCGTTCCACGCCCGTTGTCCACGTGAGCAGTTGCCAAGGCAACTAGCATGTAGACCCTCCTTCCTACGGTGCAGGGTGAGGCTGGCCACCTTAGAAACTGCAGCCTCCCAGCACGCTTCGCGCCGTGGCCTCTAGGAGGAAGGCGGAAAATGTTAGTTCCCAGAATGCCGCTCGTGGAGTGGTCCTCTCACAGACTTCCTCGTGGTGTGTTTGGGATATTGGAGTTTAGCACTGAACTTATGTTCACAATTCTTGTAGCTGGTTTCATGGTTTGTGTTTGCACTGGTCTCTGAAGTACATCCATGTGATGGGAGATGAAGTTGGCTTAATGTTCGCACTACAGCAGTTTGCACTCTGTTGTAATGAGCATTTAGAGTATATCTAATGCTTTAACGCTGAAATGATTGTAATAGCATGTTGAGCATGCCAGGCAAATACATCTACATCACAGCTCGTGCATCTATGACTCAGGGAACATCACAGAAGAGGGCAGAAAGTTTGAAAGAGACAGAATACCAGGAAGTCTGATGTGAAATAGTCTCTCCTAGAAATGGTTGCACAAACAAGGCTGGAACAATGGCAATATCAATGAACATGTTAATATTGAAGGGGGAAAGTTTCTCAGGTCCAATCACTAGACAGAAAACTATAGGCAACTACTCAGTGCTGGGAGAAGAATTAGCCTCTCCTAGGCGTGAGCTTTCTTATTGGTTGTCCAATGCAGAATTGTCAGCCTGGAAAATTTATACACACAGACAACAAAATAGAGCTAGCAGGTTTATATATGTGTGTGCATACACATATACATACACATATATGTGAAATTATATCTTTTAATTAGCTTATACAGCAGTTGGTTCCCATACCATATATCCTTAGTTTTGGTTAACCCAGACACACGCTCTCCACACCTCTTTCCTCTTACTCCATCTGTCTTAACCCTCCAACATTCCCTGCTCTTGATGGTCATTTCTTATTCACTACCTCACCCCTTCTTCTTTGCGTTCTTGTCAAGGGCTCTTTCTAGCTCCCTCAGCCCTAGAACGCGGATCTAAAAGTTCAAAGCTATGCCCCACACAGGAGATACAGATATAGGAAGTGAAAATTCAAGGCATTCGTTCTGTACTAACAGAATTCTGTTTGAAGGGATCTGAGTTTAACCTTAATCTATATAGAATGCCCGTGTCATTTAACAACAACAAGAACACTAATATCGAAAAACCCAAAGCAAGATTGGCAAGATGGCTCCATGAGTAAAACATGTTTCCCATGTATATTTGCAAGTCTCACAATTGCAGTTCAGTCCCTGGAATGCACCCACAGAAGGCATACAGATATACACAATAATAAAAACATTAAAGCCCCCAAACAGCGAAACCCAGTTGGAGCCCCAAGGGTTCTCAGGAGATGCCGCTCTGCCATTGCTGCCACTAGAGAAAGCTGAAGAACAATTTCAGGAAGAGGATAAAGCCCTCCCCTGCCCTTCTCTCTTCTTCCCTGCCTTCCCTCTCTCTTCTCGTCCAGAAAAAGAGCCATCTTCCCCTCCCCAATTCATATAACTTTTCATATACACAGAACATGGGTATGCCAGCATGGCCTAAGAGGGTTCTGTCCTATGGTCCATACTGTGGTCGTTCAGATTTGCATGACTCTGTTTTATACTTGGCCCGTGCTGAGTCACAACCCCACCCCTCTCAAGTGTGAAGACCAGAGGGAGCCCACCAGCACACTGAGGTATTTTCTTTCATCCCCGGTCAACATTTCATCATGAGTACAGAACTCAGGGTGTGCAGTTCCTCCAGGTTTCTGCCTCATTCACCAGAAGCCTTAGCTCCCTTGGCAGGAATATGTACATGCTGGTTTAGCTCTTTCAAGTCTTTAACCCCATTGCTGTCCCTGAATTTGTCCTCTTTTTTAACAATAGATACTCTCCATCGTTGTGTTTCCCAGAGGGCAGAGATGGCTTTCATAGTGCCACAGTGTCCATGAATAGGTATTTTCTGTTTGTTGTCTTTTGTGTTTGCTTCGATAAGTGTGTTATGAGCAGTTTTCCTGCCAGCCTGGTCCCAGAGCTGCATCAGCCCCAAATAGCACTCAGAAACACTGTATCAGATATAAAGTTGTTGGCCAGTTACTAGTGTTTCTTATTGGCTAGCTCTGCCTTAAATTATTAACTCATTTCTATTAATCTAAATGTTTCCACGTTGTCTTGGCTTACTGGAGATAGGGTCCAGACTGCTTATCTCTCAAGTATCTACATCTTGAATCTCCTCCACTACCTCTCCCAGAATCCTCCTTGTCTCCTTGTCCCACCTATCTTGCTTTCATATTGGTCAACAGGACTTTATTCATTAACCAATAAGAGAGACGTATTTACAGAAAGACATCTCCCATCACAAGTGTGTGCAATAATGTGAACTAAGTGTTTTCCTGAGCTAAGGGTGTGCTGGGCCACTGCATCCACCCCCCCACACCATTGTCAATATTTGAGTATTGTAAATATGGTGTTCTTTTTTCTGGGACAACTGTCCTCGACTTTGCATACTCATTCTCAAAGGCTCTTTGCCAGAACTCTGTTGCCACAGTCCCACATCAGCATCTTTCAGGACTGTGCTCTCTGGAACTCATTCATTCCCACCACTTCAGCAAACTAATTGTGTCACCTGTTTGCCCTTTCTAGCACTGCACACGCTTGGCTTCTTTACTGTTTGGTTAGGGTTTTTGTTTGTTTGTTTGTTTTGTGCTGTGGAGTGTTGAACCCAGGGCTAGGTTCACCAATGCTAGGTAAGTGCCTTGTCATGGAACCATGTAGTAGCTACTGATTTTCTTTCATTCTGTTTTTAAGATAGGGTCTCACTATGTAGCTCAGGCCCACCTCAGACCTGTGGTCTTCTTACCTCAGTATAGAGACTCTTAAAATTTAGATTTTACACCCTGCCCTTAGACCATTCTAGATTTTTTTTTTTAAGTCACATATTTTCTTCCCCGGCTGCTCTACCACTGCCTGCACTCTCCATGTGAAAGTTTCTATCTCGAATGTCTTTTCAAAATTCTCCCCACTCTATAGACTCAGCTCAACCTCTCCTCCTCATTCTTTCTCTTCTCCTGAACTTCACTTAAGCATAAGTTAGGTCCCATTCTATTTGTCTGTGTCCACATTTCTCTTCTCATAGTTTTGATTTCTTTCCCTCTGTATATGCTACATTCTGGGTAATTTCCTTAGATCTATCTTTTACTTCATTATCTCTAGTTTATTTATATATTTATTACAGTTTTTTCTTTTTCATTTTTTTTGATAATTTTTAAAATTTAAATTTGAAACAAGCTCATTTCACTTCTCAATCCCAGTTCTGGAACTCTCTCATCCACCCCTGTTACCCCCACCAACACCCATACCATCTCCTTTCTGTTCCCCAGGGAGCAGACTTCCATGGGGAGTCTTCAAAGTTTGTCATATCATTTGGAGCAGGGTTTAGGCCCTCAGATTTTTTCTTATTTCTAGAAGTTCTACTTCTACTTTTTTTTCAAATCTTCAACATCTTTTTGAGATACTTGAAAGATAGATTGTGGATGTAGGTTCCAGAGGGACACTGAAACATATGCAGTTTGTTAGAAGGGCCATGACATATTTTAATTTTTTATTTATTTTGTGTATTTTGTCTGTATGTCTGTCTGGCATCAAGTACCTGAGATGCCTTAGGAGGCCAGAATAGGGCATCAGATTTCTTGGACCTCGAGTTAAGCCAGTATGTAGGCACTGGAAATCAAAGCCAGGTCCCCTGGAAGAGCAGCAAGTGCCCTTAACCTGTGTCGAATCTCTTTAGCCCCTAAAAATTCTGTTAACGATTCTCATATTGCCAATTGTCTGAAACCTTGCAATATTTTTGTTTTTTGCTCATGTTTTTAGCTCCACATTTTATATTTATGTATATTTAATGTTTTTAATTTTTGACACCATTGGGGTTTGATTTCTGCCTTTCATCTTCTTACTGATGTTTAGTTATCTGGCTTCTTCTTCTTGTTCTTCTTCTTCAGATTGTGATACAGATATAAAATCTTATGTGGCTGGCCAGTGCCATCTATAAACCCAGCACTTTGAAAGTGAAGGCAGGAACATATGGATTCAAGGCAAGTTGGGCTACATGTTTCAACAAAACAGATGCAGATTGTATATATATATATCTGGAACCCTGTGAGGCCTGGTTAAAGGGTGGATGTGTAGAGATTCTTTTCAAAAGAATTTGGGTTGGCTTTTGTACAGCCTTCCCCAGGACCACATCCACTTCCCTGACTCTAGTTCCAACCTAGAGCTTCCATAAAAGTCCAGTCATGTTAACTGGCAAATGTAGGCTTTACTGCTAAATTGTTGGGAAAATACACAATGAGGAAATTGTCTTTGCATTATTTTTGTGGTTATAATACTGTATCTGTGATAGAATTGACTCATAATGACAGTGTTTAATTTCACAGTCACCAGTGGTATGATCTCATTCCATCAAAGAAAAATACAGCTTCTTAGCCTTTGACTGGTGAACATGTTAAAATCCAAGTATTTTAAGGCTGGAGAACAGCAGCTCATGTTGGCTTATGGTTGCAGAGGGTTTGAGTCCATACAGGTGAGGAAGGCATGGCAGTGGCAGCTGAAGCAGAGAGCTGAGAGACCACTCCTCCAACCATACACAGAAAGCAGAGATTAAACTAGAAGCAGGTAAGACTGTAAGCTTCCAAAGCCAACCTACAGCGACATACCTCCTCTGGCAAGATGCCACATAGGTTAAAAATATGGACCATCAACTGGGACTAAGTGTTTAAATACATAACCTATGGGGGCATTTCTTTTTCAAACCACCACACTGGCTAGAGGTATCTAATCAGAAAGATGAAAATTGGTAATGGTCAAGAGGGAGGGTGGCAGAAATATGCAAGAAGCTAAGGCAGGAGAATCAGTGGTACGTGAGTTTGAGACCAGCCTGGGCAACATAGTAAGACACCCAGTGTTCAAAAGTGAGCAAATAAGTAAATGGAAATAAAACTCCCAGAGAAATACTCTGGTTTCCCATGGGGGCCACAGGCCACAATTATTCTAAAAGATTCAGATAAAGTGTGATCAGTGATGGATCAGTGTGAAAAATGCCACTGCAGGGTGTGTGTGTATATGTGTGTGTGTGTGCTGTGACTCTGTGTGTGTATGTGCTGTGACTGTGTGTGTATGTGCTGTGACTCTGTGTGTGTGTGTGCTGTGACTCTGTGTGTGTGTGTGCTGTGACTCTGTGCTGTGACTGTGTGTGTGTGCTTAGCCATGCTACACAGCCTCCCAATGTTCTCAGACGACCTGCCCCATGTGAGGCAGCTGAGCTACATGAACAGTTCTTCCTTAAGGCAAGGTTCCTAGCAGCCTGGGACAAGCTTTACCCATTGGAGGGGGGATACCCCAGTGAATAGCCTCTAAGGGAAAGCAGAGTTTGGCTCTTTCCTGGTTCTGGTGACACTAAAAACCTGGGCTGCATCTCTGGCTCCATGGCTCTATACAAGCAAAGTTTCCCTCAACCCCTACTTTTTGTGCGAAATCCTCGGAAGAAGTGCCCTCCCCAAGATCAAAAGGTGTCAGCTGTGCAGCAGGGCAAGGAGTCAGGTTTGGTCAACTGAGGCTGGGCTGAACAGCTATTAGTGGAATCACCTACATTTTCTCCAGCTGCCTGATTCGTTCCACCCATTCCATCTGTGCCACTGTCACCATGTCTTGGAGGTCTACCTCAACCTGCTATTGCAGTCCAGCGGGGCCATCTACATCTTTGCCAAGAAGATGCACACTATAATCAAAGGTTGGTCCAAGCCTGGTACCTATCTACTCCTAGACCATGTCCCACCATCATCTCATCACTCAGCGCTGTCCACCAGGGAATGCCCTCTTTGGAGTGGCCTTATAGTTAAGAGCCTTCTTCAAACTTGAATTCTGCTCTGATAAGGAAGATAGGGGAGTATTTTTTGCCCTGGGACTTAAGGGAGAAAATAAAAGATTTGCGGTTCCTGCTGTGAAGGCACATTTATATTCACAAAACTCCTGGAGTCTTTGCAGGGAAGACACACACAGCTGAATCACCTCTGTGCAGCTTTGGCCTTGCTCTGGGAGGGGACTCTGCTTGCACAGAGAGAGCGGAAATATAGAGGCATTGCCTGAGCTCTTGAACACATTTTCTGGCTGTTCCTTTCCAGGGAAAGGAACCAGAAATTCATCCAGGTGAACTGCCTGCAGACATTTCCTGTGCTCAAAGACTTTGTGTTGACAGAAAGGTGCAGCTGTGAAGAAATGCAGAGTCTTAGAGTGGATGCTATCTCCTCTCACTTCCTGTAGGCTAGGCGTGAGGGGTGAGGGGGGGCAGTGCCCTGGCAGATACCCACTTCAGGCGTGGCTAGAGCATCCAGTCTGGGAAGGAGGCCGAATGACTTGGGGGCTGATTCAGAACTTCCCAGTCTGTCCTGTTTCATCTGCTGGATCCCTACCCTTACCCGAGGCCTCACCACTGACAAAATAGAGATTCAATAACAGAGGCTAGAAGGAGTTTCTCCTGACTTCCCAATGGGCCCTGGGCCCTAAGTAATCTGCCACGGCTTGGCTCGGGGAATAGAGAAAGGGTCAGGTCTCCAGGTGCTGGCTGGTTCTCCCACTAGAGTGTAGTGACTGGATGACAGGACTAGACATCTGTTGGGTGGGTCTAGAAACGATGGCTGGTGGACTCAACTGGTAGAAACCGGAGGACATGGTTCTCCTTTGGCATGTTCTAGCCATGCCACAGATGCATGCCTATCTTGAAGAGGTCTCAAGGCCCCGAGGAGATTTTTCTAAACTGTGCAATCTCAGCCAAGTCACTTAACTGTTTTGAGAATTAGCTTCCTCACATGAGAAAAGGGGCATGTCCATGCCAAATAGGGAGACTGCTGAAGAACCATACAGATGAAGCCTCAAAAGGCAGAGAGCAGGTCAGGCCAGGGACAGTGTCCCTGACATCAAAGGAAGGGAGAGCTGGAGAGCAGAGCTCTTGCTGCATGTGCCTGTGTGCATTTGTGCATTTGTGCATCCCTGCTTTCCATGCACAGCACTGCAGAGAAGAAAGATGGAGCAGAGACAGAGAGGATGAGGCTAGAAGGGACTACTTCAAATGTGAGAAGTCCTGAGGCCCCACTGAAGAATGGGAAACAGCCAAGATCCTTATAGCCCCTTTTTGCATGGTCCCCAGCTCAGCCATCCTTACCTGAGTTCCAAGTACCAGGTGGCAGATCACTGGTACCTAGCTGGTCTGCAGGCCCATGCCAGAGTCAATGAGTACCTAGGCTGGCATGCTGATAACATCTGTAGTAACTTTGGAGTGCTCCTACAGGCCAAGGCATGCATGGTCCCCTGGGAAGAGGTCAAACTTTGGGAACCCAGTAAGAGTCAAGGTTACATACTGAGTACTTCTGCTGTTCTGCCAGGTGTTAGGGCCACTCATTGGGGCCCAGGTTCCAGAGGAGAAGGTAGAATAGAACAGAAAGAGAATGAATGGATAAAGCTCTTTATTTCCTGGAGAAAAAGTTCCTTGGGGGACAGGGCCTTCCTTGTGTAAGACCCTCAGAATGAGGAGTCTTCCAGGTTCGGTCGATACCCCAAGAACTCAATGTCCAGTCCAGTTGCTGCAAAACGCAAGAGGCTTTAATGAACAGGAAACATTTGCGCAAACGGGCTCCTCCAGCACGCAGGCTAGAGAGAAGCCCCCTCCCCTGGGCCCAGGTGTTTTTAAAGGCAAACCCACAAGCTTAGGGAGGGGGTGGGACCCTCTGTTCATTGAGTACATGACTCTTGGAGGCCGGATGGTCTGCTATTAGGGTCAGCAGACCTTAGGGCCTCAGGTGTGCTAATTAATCTTGTCTGGGCAGACCAGAGTTACAGCTATCTCTTTGTTTCCTAAGGACCCTATTTACCACCTGTTGACTCACAGGAAAGGAGGGGCAGAAAGGAGGGGCAGTGTGAATTCTTGTCATCTCAGGGCCTGGTGAGAGGAAGTTAACAAATTTCAAGGAACAGATATTGGTTAGCTTTCCAGGTCAGACCGTCCTTCATTTAACTTCACTTTTTGGTCTCTCACTTGCTGGCCAGCAGGTGACACTGGCTGGTCTCATGTGTCGGGAGGAACTGATACAGGTATGAGACCAGTGGGTGAAACAGTACATTAACTCTCCAACTTTCACATTTTTGTGTCTGCAGCCAGTGGCTCTTGGCTGTAATTTGTTTGAGGGAAGGTCACGACTGACTGAAGGCATGCCGAAAGCGGCAGAGGCATTCTTGGGTACTGATCTGTGTGAGCAGGCTCATGGTGTGTGCCATCATAAGCATCCTAGAACAGGCACCCAAAACAAAAAACAAAAACAACAAAACAACACCAGAGCCCCTTCCAAAGTACTGAGTCAGCATGATGCTTCAAATTGCTAGGATTCCCTAAGTGATCTGACTAGCAATAAATACTCTTATTGTTTCTTGCCTTTTTTTTTTTTTTTTTTTTTTTTTTTTTAAATCTTGCACCAATCCTTTCCTGCCCCCTTCCCTGGCTCTGAGATGAGCTTGGCAGAAAAGGGACACTAAGTGTCTTTACCATGCTTCTCCTAAGATGCCACATACACAACCAATAAAAGGCCAAAATCAATTATACTAAAAGCCAGTAACACAAAGAAAAACAGACCATTCATAAGTTGCCATATATCTGTATTTTATTATTTTAAAAAGTCTATTTTACAGAATAGTTATTGGCTTTATTACATTGTCCTATAATATTCATGGGATAAAATCATGTCTCAGTAAACATGAAAGGGGAGAGAGAAAGGAAGGAAAGAGGAAGGAAGGAAGGAAAGGGAGGAGGAAGGAAGAGAAGAGAGGGAGGAAGGAAGGAAAGGAAGAAAGGGAAGAAAGAAAAGGAAAAGTACATAAGAAGTTATATAGCCTCCAAGTGCTTTGTAGGTCACAGGTAAGTTCTGGAGAGTGACCTCAATGAAACTAACCAAGTCTACCACTGGTGGGTCCAGCAGGATCCCAGGCTGCCTGAAAAGAGGAAGGCAGGAAAGAATCTTTGAAGTGACCTCGAATTCTGACTGGTTCCCTAAGTATAGGAAAGGTTATGTGATGCTGGAGGGCTCTACATCTGATCTCCTGTCCCTTCATTTCCAGGAGCAGTAGCCACAGTCCCAGAACAGCTCTCAGGGCTCTGGGAACATGGGCTAAGAGGTGAAGGTGGAGTTGGCATGGGTGGAGTTGAAGCCAGGTGAGAATGGGTGTGGGGGCATTGTGGTCCAGGGCTTTCTTTCCCCCTGATTGAAAGAAACTTCCTCCTGGGAGTATGTGAGAGGCCTATAAGGCTCAGGAAACTCATAAAACTCAACTATATAAAGAGTTAAAGGCCCCTCCCTAAGGCTATAATAGTTGCAAACCACTGTAAGGATCAGCCTGTGGAGCTGCCTACAAGTTGTTTAGGTGCTCAGGGAATGCAGCTTTTGTGTGTGGTCACTTGTGTTGGGACAGGATTTTCAGTAATGACTTGTGTCATCCAGGTTCCTGCAAGTACTCCCAGGGAACCCGTTCATCACCAAGGTAGACTCAGGCAGAATCATTTCTTTGGTCTGTCATCAGTGTCCTATTGGATTTGAACAGATAATTGTCACATCTCCTCATGAAGTCAGTCAACGTAAGTACTATGGAGAGGCCTTGGTTCCCATACAATGGGGAGTCAGCTGGATTTATGAATCAGGGATAGGCCTTGACTGCTGGACAGTGGTTCAAGTTGTAGAGTATGGGGGCAGAAAAGGATGGCAATGTATAAACTGTCATTGATTTTAGCTCCTCAGAGGAGCAGGGAGGCTAGCATATGAGGGGCCTCAAGGCATTGTTAAGTCCAGTCCATTATTAATCCTAAATACCAGAGAGCAATCCACTGGTCTGCTCCCATCCCCTATAGTTCCTCTCAGATCTTGCAACTATTCCCTTCCTGGAGCCTTAGCTAGTGTCTGCCTACCAGGAGGGCAACTGTGATGTGCTGTCGGGACAATGTAGCTGTTTTTATATCACAGAGCCTATAGGGGGTTCTCTCTCCAGAAATCAGGTCACACTTCCACAAAGCTCACTCCAGAGCTGATTAATGACCTCAAAGCTAACCCTAGCTTTCTTTCTGTTGCCTAAAGAAGTTCAGGGATGAAAGGGTTTATTTCACCTTAGCACTTGCAGGCCATCATCCAGAAAATCAGGGCAGGAACTCAAAGGCAGGAATCTGGAATCAAGAACTGAAGCAGAGGCTGTGGAGGCACACTGCTTACTGTTTGTTTTGCCCTCTCATGGCTTGCTCAGTTTGCTTTCTTGTATTATCCAGGACCCCTTGCCTGTGGGTGGAACTGCCTACAAAGGCTATGCACGCCCATATCGATCATAAATCAAGAAAATGGCCCGCAGACTTACTTGTGTGCAGGCCAATCTGAGTGAAGCATTTCTCAGACGAGGTTCTGCCTTCCCAGATGACTCGAGCTTGTGTCAAGTTGACACCCCCTCCCATAAAAAGAAAACCAACCCCCTAACCAGCATGTAGATCTTGTCTTAGTAAGGGTTTCTATTGCTGTGAGGCAACACCATGACCATGCAACTCTCATAAAGGAAAACATTTCGTTGGGGCTGGCTTATACTTTCAGAGGTTCAGTCCATTATCATCACGATGGGAAACATGGCGGCACGCAGGCAGACACGGTGCTAGAGAAGCAGCTGAGAATTCTACATCCACATCCACACTGACAGGCAGAGGAAGATGTTCATGGAACCAATGTAAGAGAGGCCTTCGTTCCTGTGAGCCAGCAGCCACTGGCTGTAGCTTCTCCAAAGCTTGACTTCGGTTGGCTGTCAGGCCTATGAGAAGGTGATGCTGGGAGCTGAAATAGTCCAGGAAGTCCACAAGTTCATATTAAACCCCAGGGAACCCTAAGGCTCAGAACAACCATCCTCTAGCATAGAAGCTGGCTTCAGGAGGTGTTCATTGAAGGAGAAGTAGCTGCATGATACTGTCTGTTACAGACATGCTCTGGGCTCTCTCCTGGTTCTTAGTCTCACATCATCCTGTGGAAGTGAGCCCTAGAAAGACAGGACATCTTCCAAGATCATTGTCATCGTCAACTTGACAAGTCACCTAGTCACCTAGGAGACATGTCTGTGGCCATGCCTGTGAGGAACTGTCTAGTCTGGGTTCACTGAGGTGAGGTTCTTTGAGTTTGGTCCCAGAGTACAAGAAAATAAATATGACTGAGCAGCAACATTCACCACTCTCTTGTTCCTGACTCTAGAAGCAATGTGACCACCTGCCTCAAGACCCTTCCCCTATGGATTTCCACCATGATAGACCATGAGAATAAGTAAATATTTTCTTCCATATCTTGTCTGGCAAAGTATTTTACTGCAGGAAAGAGGAAATTATCTAATATAGCCATAAAGCCTAAGGCCACACTGTGACCTCATCATGCATCTCTTAGTGACCTTCTTCCACAGCTCCTAGGTGTACAGTGTGAATTGTGTTGCTTTGAGCAAGACCAGGGAGTTTCTGGGCTCATACATGGTACAGTCTGGTGAGCCACACTCTGAGCATCCTCAGTGTTGGCCCTTTGCTCCCTGAACTCCTCCAGTGTGTTAACTTCCCATCACTATAACAAAATACCCTAGACAGTTAACTTGTAAAGAAGAAAGGGAATCTGAAGAGATGGCTCAGCACATAAGGGTGTATACTGCTCTTGCAGGCCAGCAAGGGTTCAGTTCCTAGCACCCATGCTGGGCAGCTCACAACCACCTGTAACTCCAGCTCCAGGGGATCCTATGCCCTCTTCTGGATTCCATGGTCTTCTTCACTCATACATGCATATACCTCCCCCCACGTATAGTTCATTCAAAATAAAAACAAATGCTTAAAGAAAAAAAAAAGCATTCTATATTATGTGTTTTGCTTGCATGAATGTCTGTGCACCACATGCATGCCTGGTGCCTGCAGAGGCCAGAAGAGGGTGATAGACCTTGTGGAACTGGATTGCAGATCATTGTGAGCCTCCACGTGGGTGCTGGGAATGAAATCCAGGTCCCCTGGAAGAGCAACTAATGCTTTTAACCACCAGGACATCTCTCCAGCCCCTAAACATTTTTAAAGGAAAAATAGACTGTTTTGGCTCAAATTTTTAAAGAGCTAGAGTCATTACTGGGTGAACCTATTGCTTTTAAGGCTCTGGTGGTGATGGTAGTGTTAGATATAGTGGGCATTGCGTGTGGCAAAGAGAAGTGTTTACCACATGGAAGAAAAAGGAAGAGGAGATTACCACTCTACAGTCCCCTTCAAGAAAATGTCCTCAATGAACCAAGGCCTTCTGCCAGGACTCATCTTTCTTCATTACCTTAAGTACTAGGGATGGAGCCTGAGCTCTCTATACGCTATAATCTGAACACTCTACCACTGGGCTATATCACTAGCTCTATAAAGTTCCTACTACCACGGTAAGGACTACACCTTTACTGCATGGTCATTAATTAATTAATTAATGCATGGTCAGAGGTCATTCAAATCCCAAGATGTAGCACCTACCTCTTTCCAATTCTTTCCCAATCACATTTCAGAGTAGATTTACCCTGGATAACCCAGTCTTTAGTTCAGGCCACGCAAACTCAATCTTTTTCTCATTCTGGACCTGCAAAGCCCCTTTCCTCCTATCCTGCAGAGAAGGCCTGGTCATGGGAATGCTCTAACATGATCCCTTCTCAGACAGATACCTGTGAGACTGAGACACAGAGCATGTGCTCAATGGGAACCAGTCCCAGCCCTCTGGCAGGGCCTCTGGACACCCCTAAGTCTCCTCAGAACCTTTGCTATTGTAAGAGTTCCAGGTCTCCTGGCCTCATGAGAACATCAAGGGATGTTAAGTTCCAGAATGCAGGGTCCTCAGCCCTGGCGGGAGAGGGTCTAGAGCCAGGTGCTCAGGTGAGACTCAGGTTGGTGGTCTGCCCACTGTAGCTGTGGGGCTCAGTACACATCTCAGCATGGGCCTGGAACTCTACATGGACTTGCTGTCGGCACCTTGCCGTGCTGTCTACATCTTTGCCAAGAAGAATGACATCCCCTTTGAATTCCAATTTGTGGATCTACTAAAAGGTCAGTCCTCAGTGTTGCCAGCAAGTCTGGTCCTGAGATGCTGCCAGGTCACCTGGTGAGAGTATTTCTGAGGGTCAAAGGTCAGCAAGGGAAGCAGAGGTGAGACAGATGTGAAGGTGCTCAGGCCATGTCCCTATCTAACCTACCTTCCCTCATCACCATGAATGACAATCTCCCTGTTGGGGTGAGTCCGATCTTTGTGGGTAAAGGAAGGAGGGATACTAGGAAAGCCTCAGACTCTCAGCCAGGGCTTTTGTCATCACCTTTGGTGGTCTCACATCTTGTTATCTGAGCAACCAACAACCAGGCTGGTACAGGACACAGACCCACTGCCATGTGACACTGCATATGTTACTCAGCCTGTACTCACCCTCCCCCAGTGTGTGCCCACCCTCCCCCAGTGTGTGCCCACCCTCCCCAGTGTGTGCCCACCCTCCTCCACTCTGTGCCCACCCTCCCCAGTGTGTGCCCACCCTCCCCCAGTGTGTGCCTACCCTCCCCCGGTGTGTGCCCACCCTCCTCCACTCTGTGCCCACCCTCCCCCAGTGTGTGCCTACCCTCCCCCGGTGTGTGCCCACCCTCCCCCAGTCTGTGCCCACCTTCTCCCAGTGTTCAAACCTGCTCTAGGATTAGGACTGTGTCACAGTGATAAAGCACTTTTGCCTATCATGCCACAAGCAAGACCCTGAGTTTGATCCCCATTTTGTGCATGTACACACCACACACCACACACCACACATGAGGATCAGTGGACTAGGATCCATAACATTGAGGAGTCTCTAAAATTCAGCTCGAAGAGACTTCTAAAGCATATAATAGATGTGGGAGCTGCAGATATGGATGAGGTGTGTTGGAGCCCTAGAAGGGTTTCCGCTTGCAAACAGTTGGTCAGCAGGGATTCCTGCGTGCTGTGGAGTTTTCTGTAGACATCAGGGGACCTAGGTCCCTAGGGCTGAAGTTGATCCACAGGTTGTGGCTTCAGGCCTTGGGTGAAGGCTGAACGTCTAGCTTCTGGGAGCCAAAGGGCTGTCTTGATCCCTGGAAAAGGGGGTCACAAGAGCTGGGGTATAGGAATTTGAGAGGAGGGATCTTTCTTAACCCTGACCCCCACCCCCTGTGCTATCTCTGCTTTCCCCTGAGACCTGGGACAAGCCACATGATCCTTAAGGCCTCAGTTTCTCTCTTTTGTCTCTAGAAGCCCAAGTTCTCCTTTCTCTGGGGTCCCCAAAGCCCCAGACCGTCCCTGCCCCCCTCAGGTCACCACCATAGCAAGGAATACATCGAAATCAACCCCCTGAGGAAGCTCCCCAGCCTCAGAGACGGAAAGTTCGTCTTATCTGAAAGGTAAGAGCCTCCTGGGAGACCCATCTCTGCTCCCCTGGGAGACTCAATGGGAACAGACCTGAGCATTCATTCATTCGTTTATTTCTTTATCTACTGGGACAAGGCAAGGGCTCTCTATGTAACCTTGGCTGGCCTAAAACTCACTATGTAGACAAGGCTGGCCTCAAACTCAAAGAGATCCATACTTACCTATTTTTAAGCTACAGAAAATTACACTCACACACACACACACACACACACACACACAGAGAGAGAGAGAGAGAGAGAGAGAGAGACAGAGAGAGAGAGAGAGAGAGAGAGAGAGAACGAATAGTATCAAAGAGTTCAACAAACCCCACACATCCATCTTGTAGCCTCTGTGGCTATCTATCCACTTTGCCTTGTCTATACCTTGCCCTGCCTCCTCCTTCCAGACACCTCATCATTTTACCTATGAATGCTTAGAAATATCCCAATAAGAAATTACTCTAATACATAACCACCCAATACCTTTATGACAATGAGTAAAATTAACCTTTCCCAGATTTTATCCTTAGCTAGCTCATACTCAAGTACCTGTTGTTCTCATATTTACTTGGCTTTCCTCTCTCTCTCTCTCTCTTTCTCCCTTTCTCTCTCTCCCTTCCACATTTATGTACATGAGTATTTTCCTACATGTATGCATGTGCATACCTGTGTACATGCCTGGCGCCTGGGAGGCCAGAAGAGCTCATCAAATCTCCTGGAACCAGAGTTATGGGTGGTTGTAAGCTGCCATGTGGTTGCTAGGAACCAGACCAGGGTCCTCTGGGAGAGCAACAAGTACCACTGAGCCAACACTCCAGTCCCCCTTAAACTCTTCTTTATCTGTGTTCTCTGTCTTAGTCCAATTTGAGTTACTATGACTGAATATGGCAACATGGGTGATTACAAAGAGCAGAAGGTTGACTTTAGCTCATGGTTCTAGAGGCTGCAAAGCCCAGGAGAATAGAACTGGTACCTGCTTAGCATCTACCTTCCCTTTGGGTGCTACCGATTTAGAGATTACAACATGATGAGCAAGCGAGTGAGGGAGGAGAGAGAGGGGGAGGGAGGGTATTAATAACAAAGTCACCTGTGTCAACCTGGCCATCTATTAATCATTTTATCCTTGCATGGATCCATCTGCCCTCCTAACTCCACAGCCTTAGCTGTCCACCACCTAACCCCTGTGGTGGAAATTTAGTGCCAATCTGAGCTTTAGTGGGACTTGCAAACCTTCTCAACCTCTATTGTTTTTTTTTTTTTTCCAGTTTGTTTTGTTTCTGACTGGTCTCTCTGTGCACTTGTTGTTGGTGATGAACACCTGCTCTTACATCCTGTGGCATTTCCTACACTGTCATTAGCAAACCTGGGCAGTCCTTCCCTGTAAAGCAGGACACTGCTCTAAACCCTCTCCTGTATCCTTTGGTCCCCATCCCACTATCCCATCCCCACTCCCAAGAGACCAATGCCTATTGATGGGTTATAGCTTGAGCCATCATCTTGGCTTCCCTGAGATTATTCCACCTCTTCTCACTAGAGGAATATATCCTCTGAGACCAGTGTAGGGGCTGGAGAGATGGATGGACCCACAGCTAAGAACACTAGCTGTTCTTCCCAGAACTCACAGAGTGTTTCATAGAGTCTGTAACTCTAGTTCTGGGGCTTCAGACTCCTTCCAGTCTGTGAGGGGACCAAACTCACAAGAGGTTCACAGACACACACAGAGGCAAACACTCATCCACAACTCATCCCCGCAATATCTCTGGCAGTTCTCCTCTTCCCTCCGGCCACATGTTCCATTCCTTCTGGGATCTTACCATTCTTTGTCCTGCCAACATTGCCCTTATTTATTTATTTATTTTTTATTTATTTATTTTGAGGGTTTCTGTGTGTAACAGCCCTGGCTGTCCTGGAACTCGCTCTGTAGACCAGGCTGGCCTCGAACTCACAGAGATCCTCCTGTCTCTGCCTCCTGAGTGCTGAGATTAAAGGTGTGTGCCACCAATGCTTGCAATTCTGGGAGGGGTGGCATTGCCCTTTCTTTTGCCATTCAACAACTCCTGAGCACCTTTCCAGTCTTCCTCTGTGCCTTGCTGGTTATTTGTCTGACATGTCAGCTTGATGTAGGCTTCCTTTTGGGTCTCTCCTTCCCTTGCAGGAATTTAGCACCTGGGGCCTTCCTGTGGTTGAAGGCCATGCTGGGATGGTGTCCCTGCTTTCAGAAGGTATAAGCAGTGCCCCTGACTTGCCCTTTCTGTAGTGTAGCCATCCTCTTCTACCTATGCCGCAAGTACAGTGCACCTTCCCACTGGTACCCACCAGACCTGCACATGCGAGCCCGTGTGGATGAGTTCATGGCCTGGCAGCATACAGCCATTCAGCTGCCCATGAACAAGATACTGTGGATCAAGGTGAGTAGCCAAACCTGGGGCTCAAGAACAGGGCAACAAAACAGTCAGAAAACCTGAAGTCCATCCTGGTCCTGCTGACTGAGCATCTCTTTTCCCTGATCCCATGCCAGCCTACCTTTCAGAGCTACTGAGAGTGTGGGATGAAGTGTTAAGTAGGAGGAAATTTGGCAAGGCAAAGGGCAACTGGACAGGGCCAAGAAAAGACTCAGGAGACTTCGTTCCGAATTAGAAAATATCAGTAGACTTAAAGGTGACAACCAGCACACATATCCCTACTTCTAATTCTCTGCTTGTGTTTTTAGCCCATTTTCCATTGCTATAGTAAAATGCTTCAGGCCAGGTAACTTATGAAGAAAAGAGGTTTACTTAGCTCACAGTTTAGGAAAAAGGAAGTCTAAACAGCAAGGCACTATCTCAAGAGAGGGAGGGCCTCACAGCAGATGATATGGAATCAAGTGCAAGCTGGGTTGCCTGCTAAGACAGGAAGCCAGAGCTAGGGCAGGGTACCACTCTTGCACTTTAGTAACAGTTTTCTCTCTTAAGTACTGTGTCCACCTCCATCCCTTTTGAAGGCAGCACTCCCAGTTAGACTCCATGTTTTAGAGATTTCAGCCCCTATCATATTACCATGAGGACTGGATTCTCAGAACACCAATCTTTGGTGAGTGAGGCATACACCAAGCATAGGATTCATTGTTATCTAGGCCTCCAAAGCCATCTTAACACATGGTAACTTAATACCTGGTAACTGCCACTTGAAAATGGCCCAAGAGGTGAAATTACTTTACATCCTTGGAACTGTCCAAACTTTATTTAGCAGACAGGGATAGCGAAGCCTGGCAGAGGGATAGGGCTGGAGTACTGCCTCTACATCTGTCCCCTTCTCTCCCTGCCCAGTTACTAATCCCAATGATCACAGGTGAGGAGGTTCCTGCTGAGAAGATGGAGCGTGCAATGGAGGAGGTGAAGAAAAACCTACAGCAATTTGAGGAGAAGTTTCTGCAGGACAAGATGTTCATCACTGGAGATCACATCTCACTGGCTGACTTGGTGGCCCTGGTGGAGATGATGCAGGTATGGTGTGGAGGAGGCATAGGGGGATAAGTCAGGGAAGAGGGAAGATAGTTCAGGGGCTAGAATCTGAAGATAGACTAAGAGGGGCAGGTGTGACCACCCCTGAAGGGTGTGGAACCCATATGGAAGTGACAGGAAGAATCAGAGGTTTTGAGTCAGTGGGCATTGTGATCATGGAACTTGACAAGCTTTCATGGTATGGTGAAGAGTCAGAGGGAGAACCAGGGATGCAGAGAAATACATGGTTATACAAGCCAGGATCCCAGATGCCCACTCCTCCCGTCGGACTCTCCAGGAAGTATACAAGATACAAGATTCCTGACATGGTCTTTCCCAGTTGCCTCTTTTTCAGAGCTCCAGAGGCAACAGCATTAAGGTGGCTCTCCCAACTCTGGGTCTGAGCAGTGGGCACCACTGTGCACAGGGGGCAGACCTGGAGGGGTGCAGGCTTTTCATGTCTTTTACATGTGTAAAAGTTCATGTCAGCTGTCAGGTGTGTGCAGGATGGCCAAGTTAGACACTTCGAATATCCTTCTCCCCATTCTCTCCCTTCCCCTTCCCCCTCCCCTTTTTCTTTCCCTTCCCTCTCCCTCTGTCTCTCTCTCTTTGTCTCTCTCTGTCTCTCTCTCTCTCTCTAAGATAGGATCTCATGTGTCCCACGCTGGCTTCAAACCAGCTATTTAGTTGTAGATGACCTTGAACTTTAAAATACTCTTGCCACCACCTCTCCAGTGTGGGAATTAGAAGTCTATAACACAATATCTGGTTTGTGGTGTGTTGGAGGTTGAGCCCAGTGCTTTGTGCATGCTATGTAAGTCCTCTATCTATCCAGCCACATGCCCAGCCCATTGGCCAGTGTCTTGAGAGGCCATCATAGTTTCCAGCCTGAATGAAAAGTAGCAACTTTAGTCCTTGGCCAATGTGTAGTATAGAACTGTGCAAGGAAAACCATTCTGGCCTGCCCCAAACAGGCTGGCCTCAAACTCACAGAGATCCACCTGCCTTTGTACTGGGATTTGGGGCATGTGCCCCTGTCACCTGGGGTGCATATTTATTAATGAGGCAGTTAAACTGCTAAACAGGTTACATACTGAGCCTCCTCTTGTTGCCCTTGTCCTGATCACAGAAGGAGGTCCAACATGCGGGGAAGGGGGGCAGTTGAGCTCCATTCCTCCTTCCCTGGAAGAAGGCCAGATACATAGAGAAGTGGGAGGCATCTGGAGTCACCATCTTGGAACAGTGTCCTCTAGGCCTGTTTCACATGGACTGTGTAGTTTTGACACCTTGCCAAGAAGAACTCATCTCGGGCAGCAGATGAGTTCTTTGCAAAGGCAGGTGCAAGTAACCCTTGAGGCTACAGAAGACCCAAGTGCAGCTGGTGCCTATGCTGATCACATCTTCCTTTTTGTTTATCCATAGCCAATGGGGGGTAACCACAATGTCTTCCTCAGCTCCAAGCTTGCGGAATGGCGAATGCGGGTGGAGTTAGCCATCGGTTCTTCCCTCTTCTGGGAGGCTCATGACCGATTGGTGAACTTACCAAACTGGGACTCTTCGACGCTGGACCCTATGATCAAGAAGAGGATGTCTGAGTTTCTGCAGAAGTATAAGTAATCCCAGAGGCAGTTCATTCTGCAGGGTCTGGCTGTCTCCACCTTCTGACCTTCTGAGCCTCTTCTCTCAGAGAAGACACTAAGAAACACTCTGTTCCTTTACCAAATTAAAAAAAAAAAAAAAAAAAAAACCAAAAAACTGGAACAGTCACCATGGCTGTATGGGGACAGTTGGTGTTAGCAAAGAGCCTGGCATGGAAACAGGTGGTAGTCTGAAGTCATCTTGGTTTCTTAAAAAAATATAAGCAGCTGGAGAGATGGCTCAGAGGGTAAAGTGCTTGCTTCCTGTCTTAGTTAGGGTTTCTTTTGCTGTGAAGCAACACCATGACCACGGCAACTCTTATAAGTGAAAACATATCATTGGGATGGCTTGTTTACATTTTTTCTCAACTTCACATGGAATATGTATCAGCAGACACTATATAAACTCATTATAAATAAGTCACAGCTTTAAGAAGATTGAGTCATGAAAACTGTACTCTCTGAATAAAATTGTAATGGAATTAGAAATCATTAACAGGGCCAGTGAGATGGCGCAGCTGATAAAGGAGCCTGCTGCCAAGCCAGGTGACCCAGACAAACCTGTGAGACTCCCCAGGGATGAAGGAAGGAGAGAACCAATTCTCAAGAGCTGTCCTCTCTCTTTCTCTCTGTCTCTCTCTTACACACACACACACACACACACACACACACACACGAAATAAAAGTGCAATACAATGTTTCAAAAAGAAATTGGTAACAGAAGGAAGACTAGGTGTAAGAGAAGGATGACTTGATCTGTGTGGGGTTTAGGGGGATTGAAATACAGACATAAGAACCCAAGTTCAGATCCCCAGCATCGAATACAGAAAGAAGCTGGATGTGGCAGTGCCGTGCTGTGGGCCATCGACAGAAGGATCAATGGGACTCACTGGTTATCCAGTTTAGTTCAGGTTCAGTGATCAAGGCCTGTCTCAAAAAAACAAGAGGAAGTACTTAAAGAAGATGCCCAATGTTGACCTTTATACACACATGTGCGTGTCACATGAACCACATATGCATACAGACACACAAAAAGAAAAAAAACTTAGAAAGTTTTCATGTTAATTCATGTTAAATGCTTTGATCATGATAAAACGAACATAAAGATAAACATATACAAAAGTCATGAGTGAGCCAGGTGTAGTGGTGCACACTTTTTATTGCAGCACTTGGGAGGCAGAGGCAGGTGGGCTAACCTGGTCTATATAATGAGTTCCAGGATAGCCTGAGCTACACAGTAAGACCCTGTCTCAAAAACAAAACAACAAAATGTTATGAGTTAGCTTAATTGAGAGAGGAGAGGAGTAATAGTTCGTTTTAGTGTCAGCTTGTCGAAAGTTTAATCATCTGAGTTAGAAGCCTCACCTGAAGAACCACCCTAATTACCTCAATGATTGTGGACTGCACCTTCTGGAAGCAACTCAGATTATAAAAAGTGGGAAAGGGTCTTGGTAGTACTGCTTGACCTTTTCTCTTGCTGCTGCTTTGATTTACCCACCCAGTTACTGCTGACACTGGAACCTTCTATGATATTACAACCAGCATTTTCAGGCTTCCATCATTGATGAGGACCAGAAGCTCTCCAGGAACCTTCCAGATCTTCAGTAACATTTGGACCTGTGGGCTGAGCGACTACTGGGTTAGCTTTCCCAGTGACAGACAGCCACTGTGGGACTGTTATCCCTGCTGACGCATCTAGCCTCCAGGGCCAAGCGACTGCCAGGTTCTTAGCCTCTAGATTAGGAGACAACTGTGGTTACTATTTGATGTAACCTGATTTAAGAGAGAGGAAAGAGAGAGGAGCAGTCTTGAGGGAGATGCCCTATAGCTACTGGGAAGATAAGACTCCAGGTATTCTTCAGTAAAGTAAGGCCATGTGGAAATACATAGATTAATAGTCATGGGTTAATAATTAAGAGAGAGCAAGCCAATAAGAAGCCTGAGCTATCAGGCAAACAGTTTATAATTAATATAAGCCTCTGTGTGTTGTTTTGGGGCTGAACAGCTGTGGGACAGGACAGGACAGGACAGAAACTCCATCTACATACATGTATATTCTATCTGTTCTGTTCTTACCAAGAACCTAATACAGGAGGAAAATGTCCTTTGTTACACTGTGGTTTGTAAAGTGTACCTTTATTACCTGCATTCTTATTCAAGGACACATGAACCTGGAAATCCCAGCAGTTGCCCACTGGACCCCTGCCTATAACAAAAGCATTGAGAAGAAAGGACCTTTAAGCACTGCTCCTGGAAGGTTGTGGGGGTTTGCATGGAATGGCCCCCATAGACTCTTATTTTTGTTTGGTTTTGGTTGGTATATTGTGTATGATCAGGAGGTGTGGCTTTATTGGAGGAGGTGTGTGCAAATGATCCCTCTATCCTAGACTCTTGCTGACAATCACACCGATTAATCCAAGTAAAATTTTTATTCTTATTAATGTTCTTATTAATGGCCAGACCAAAAGTGGGCTCACAGGTCTAGAAAGTCTCATGCCCAAGCTCAGGGGTACAGTGTTTTTAAAGACAAAATGATAATTACTTCAGCGCCTGAAGTAGGCACATTAGTGAAGGATCTAGAGTTGCCTGATAAAATCTGCTTTCCTTGCAAGGCTCAGTGGTGTCTTCTAGACACTACGTAACATGCTTGGACCCTGGTCAAGGTTATGGACTGCTGGGGGCAGATGACTGAGAAATGACCAGGTAAGTACAAAACAACCTTGGGACAGGATGGCGTTACCTTTGTGTTTTGAGTGTCACTAGGGATGGGCTTTAAGGTTTCCAAAGCCCACACCAGGCCCAGTCTCACTCTGCTTGCTGCTTATGGATAAGATCTGAGCTTGCTTTCAGCTGTTGTCCCAGTGCTCTATGCAGTAGCAGTCATGGACTTCTGCTGAATCTGTAAGCAAGCCCCTCATTAAATGCTTTCTTTTATAAGTTGCCTTAGTTATGGTGTTTCCTCTTAACCAAGACAATAGTGTATTAGAATTCTCTAGAGGAACATAACTGATACAATGACTCCATATATATATTAAAAAGTTCTTGTGTCTACCAGCTGCGACTAATCTAACAATGAACAATGACTATCTCCTGATGGGAAGCCCAAGACTCCAGTAGTTAGCCCATGAGTCTCAGTCTTCAATCTATGTTGGAATCCCAAAGAACAGTAAACTAATGTTTCAGCAGCAGCAGGATAGATGTATTTGCCATTGGGAGTGAGGACAGGCATGCAGAGAGCAAAGTTTCCTTCTTCCGTATCCTTTTATGCGGGCTGCCACCAGGGGTGCCCAGATTTAGGGTGGGCCTTCCCACCTCAAATGATCAAAAAACCCTTCCCAGGTGTGCCCAACTATACTTGAATTTCAGTTGATTCTCGGTGTGGTCAAGTCGATGACAAGATCAGCCATCACAGATGGGACTAACACTGATGATTTTGGCACCTACTGACTCCTTATGTCTCCTAAGAACACTTAACTGAATCCTCCTTGCTTTCTGTAACCTCCTGGCACAAGGAGGGCTTCTGGCCTTTCTCCCTGCTGAAGGACTACAGCCTCTGTGCAGCAGAGCTCTGCATCTCTTAGGATGCCAAGAGCCTGTCCTATCATGGTTGGTAAGAAATCATGCCCAGACCATATCTTTAGAATTCATGTAACAATCAGTGAACACTTTTGAACACAACAGAGTCACTAGAGCTCGGGTCTTTGCCTCTGTCATTTGTCCTCTGGGCTAGCTATTTAGAAAGCTCACACCCTGGTCACACCCTCACACATTTGGTGGCATCCGTTCGGAGCCTGCACTTGGCTAGCTGTGTAATCCTGTGGACAGTAGGTGCTAAGTTCACCTGGGGCCTGGGACTCATGTATGAGTCAGCAAAGTTTGGAGCCCTGGTTAAAGCAGTGCTGGGAAAGGGGATCTGCCGGCTTCTCTCAGACAAGACTGGCTTGGCCACTCAGCCTTTTTGCCCTTGGACTTAAGAAGCCAGTTATGCTCAGCCCAATCCTTCTGTGTACTCCGCCCCCATCCTGTGCTCACTGTTCTGCCTCCTCCTGCTGCAAAGTACACTGTCCACATTCAGAGCCATTTGCAGAAAATATATCTCTGACAAAGACAACACTGTTGACCCGTTCTAAGAAGCGCAGTTTAAGTAGTAAGCAGCTGGCCACCCAGCTGTTCAGTGGCTTCTGCATTAGTTGCTTTTCTTGCTTTAGTGGCAAAGGGAAGAGCTTATTTTGTTTCAGTTTGAAGGTGGAGAAAGCATGGCAGCCTGAGAGTATCTCCTGTCAGGAAACAGGAGCAAACCCTTGTGCTCAGCTTTCTCTACCCTTTTATTGCTGCAGTGCAGCCTACTATAGGGTGGATCCTCCCACTTCAATTAACCCAGTTTGGAAACTCCCTTTCAGATTTGCCCAGGAGTTTGTTTGCTGGGTGACTCTAGATCTTGTCAGGCTGACTACTAACCATCACAGTTTCTTATTAAATATTGCAGAACTGCAAAAGGGGAAAAGACCAAGGACCAGAAAGCATCCAAGAGTAAGGGCCAGTAACTGGATCTCCCCCTACACACACTACACAGCTGAATCTCACTGTGTCTTGGCTGGTAGGGGCTTCAGTAGGGGGTGGGAATTCTGGAAGGAAAAGCACGTTCTCTTGAGTTGAACCAGTCTGCCTAGGGGTAGGATTAACCCTTAAAGGAGGAGTCAGGAGCAGGTCTCTGCCCAGGGGTGGATTCCATCTTTCTTTCACCCCCCATACCTGAAGAGGCATCCCTAAAAGAATGTAGGAATTGGGGGAAGGCTCTAACCCATTTTTATCATGAAAATCTAGAGATGTGTTTCCATAGCTGTTCACCAGAAGGGATTAGTGTTTGGGCCCATTGGAGCTTTTATCCTTATACTGTCTGGGCATCGATATTCATTCAGGAGGAGACGAGAGTTCAGAGCTCCCCTTTGGGAGAGTTCAGAGCTCAAGGACATTTTGGGGCCCCTGCTCTGAACTTCCTTTTCTCTCTCTGCCACCTGTTTTCATTGT